CCGCGCGCGCCCTCCCGGGGCTCCTGCCCGGCCGCCACCATGGAGCTCGCTCCAGCGCCGTGTCCGCTGCCCAGGGCCGCAGGCCCAGCCAGGGCGCTGATACGTTACCATAAGGTAAAAATTAACATCTCCACACAGTGTTTTGCCCTCTCCGGCCATGAGAGTTATAAATGCAGCAGATCAGAGATTTCCTTTTCAAATAGGATTACTAAAAATGGCTTTGTAAGCATATAGCGTTTCTCTGTTATCTTAACAAGTTTCGTTGATTTTTAAAAGTTTTCAAACATCTCCACATCTCAAATTCAAGCCTTAATGAAAGTGTGATTTTACTTCAAATTATTCTGAACTGTAGGTTCAAAATCAAGATTTATTTAGCAGTGTTGTGTCCTAAATATTTCAGTGGTCTTTTGCATGTGTGTTAGTGTCGCAACATATTCAGGAAATGAACGTCATGATTCTGATTTTGTGGGTTAAGACATGCTTGTTGTGTTATCCATATTTTGCCATTTTTGAAACATTGCTTATTTAGTATTTCTAGTGCTTTAGTGAATAAAGTCAATACCCTTCTTAATCTACACTTACCTCAGTTAAAGCCAGAGCATATACAGCCTCTTGCACCATTGGTGTAAATGGTTGGGGCTTGACTCGTGCTCCACGTGGGGGTTTGTACATCCAACAGTTGTTTATAGTAAGGTTTTTTTGCTGTTTTTTTTTTTCTTCACCTGTTATAACTCAGAGCACTTTATGACCAGGTTTTGTGTGTGTTTGCGTGTGGAGCTTGAGAAGTTAAACTAATGGGTACTAATGGGTGTAGATTTAGGGAGGTGAAGGTATTTCTGTTGGCCACGTAGCAGCCTGGTGTTGCAGTTGCCAGTTTTCTATTAAAACGTGTCTATTTATGTGTCTGCTCTGTGTTGCCTTTAATTTGTGGCTTACAGTTCTGAAGGAAAAATCCAAACATTTCTAAATGTCATTAATTCTATGAAGTATTTTATTTTGTTTTCTGTAATTTTGAAATTTGACTGTTGTAATTTGACTTGGGGATAACTTTGTAACAAATACATTAATGCAAATGCTGCTTTATTGAGTAACCTGTTTTCTTTCACAACCCAGCTTTTATTTTTGTCCTTGTAAGAGACTAGAAACGTGACCTCTGTTTCGTGAAGAAGCTTTATTCTTTGTTACTCTCTACCTGTGACCTGTAAGAGCTCGAATTCCTGTGAGCTAGGATAAATGTTACAAGAGATTATATGCTGGACTTTCTGCTTTTGCCTTAACTAATAAATTGAAGATATGTTGTCACTGAATTGATGCAGAGTGACCTCCATAAGATTATCGTCTCTCCTCAGCCACTCAGCTCGGATCATGTCAAAGTTTTTCTTTACCAGATTTTAAGAGGTAATTTCTTTTCTTTCAAAATTATGAAAATTACATAGTATTAGTATATTTTGGTCTCAGTGTTTATTCTCAGGACTTCCTCATCTTGAATGTTTCCTGTGGAAGCATAATCTATTATTAAATGTTAAGAACGAATAGCAAGCATAAATTATTCTTGTTATAATGCATAGCAGCCCTGCTGTCCTGCATCGTAGCGCCTGGAGAACGACGGCAGCGCTCGGCACGTTAGCTCCAGGCGGGCGTTGAGGGTCTGTTAGAGCCTTGGCGGGGGGATACGTGCGGTTGAGCTGTCCGCTGATGTGCTCCACTTTGGAACATCTGGTCGTTGTCAGCCCAGTTGTTTCCTTTTGGTTTTACTTGATGTTTTTATTGGAATAAGCTGAAAATAAATAGTCAATATTATCTGGTAGTTTATTAGTGCTAGATCCCATTCATAAAGAGCAAAGCGATCTAAAATCCAGAATGAGTGAGAAGGTGCACGTGGGTCCTGTGCCCCCGGGGCTCTCGAGTCTGCCATGGGGGAGCACCCGAGTCCCTTGGCAAAACGGCAGGGCAGAGCTGCCAGCTGCAGTTTGTTCAGGAGTTAATTCAACTCTCATTCAGTTTGCTCAGATACTTACCTGAGATCTCAGTGTTGCCCATTTTAATTTTATTTATCTGCTCTCTCCAATTCTATTTGAAGTATTGTCATTTCTTCCGTACTCCTGTAGTTCACGTGTACAAACAGCTTCCCATTGATTAACTTTCTTCCATTAAACTTTTTAGAGAGCTGCTTTTTTATTACTTTCTTTTTATTAAAAGAAAAACAAAACAGACAATACAGAATTTTGGCTTTAGGAACTACAAAAGCACGCAGGAAATGCGGGGTATCTAGAGACTATTAGAATTGTGTAAAAATGAGCAAATGGGCAAGTTCTTGTTGACCAAGACTTTAAGAGCTTTGAGGAAAATGCTGTCAGCCTTAAACTTTTTCTTCTTTTTTTTTTAAGGAGAGGAAAAGTATTTATTTTAATTTCATTTAATATTTCAGGTCTGAAATACCTACATTCTGCTGGCATTTTACATCGAGACATTAAACCAGGGAACCTACTCGTGAACAGCAACTGTGTTCTTAAGGTGCTACTTAAATTTATTGAAAATATGCATATGTGTGTGCTGTTCATTATAAATCACATGTTATTTTATTTTAAAATGAAATAGTTAATATGAATATTTTTCTGTAAAGTCATGTTAAAAGAAAACATCCCGCAGATACTTTCAAAATCACAAGTGAAACAACCATCTTTCTCTGTCCCCTTCTGCTATCTCTCCCCAGATCTGTGGAAAGGAAATACCACTTTTTTGTGTGTTTGACATGAATGTGATCTGTTTGCCTTCCTACACTGCGGAGGGCACTTGGGTTAAAACTGTAGAAATTTTAAGTGGGTGTGGATTAAAGTAGCGTAACTTTTTCCTTCTCTCCCTTTGCTTATGCAGTTGCATCAGATTAACTAATTTATTTAAATATTTAAATTTATTTAAATTTTGGTTATTTTAATATTTTTATTTACCTTCTCAATTTAGATTTGTGATTTTGGATTGGCCAGGGTGGAAGAACTAGATGAATCTCGTCACATGACTCAGGAAGTTGTCACTCAGTATTACCGGGCGCCGGAGATCCTCATGGGCAGCCGGCACTACAGCAATGCTATAGACATCTGGTCTGTAGGCTGCATCTTTGCAGAGTTGCTTGGGCGAAGAATCTTGTTTCAGGCACAAAGTCCCATTCAGCAGGTATAATTAAATTTCCCTGTAAGCATCTTTTGCTGCATAATTTCCTGAAGTCAATCATATTGATGCATATTGAACCACAAACTTGCTTTTGTTTGGCTTGGTTTACACACGGGCAACAAGCTATTTTGAAACGCTGAAATAATTGCTTCCAGACAGTATTAAAGGCAGCGGTTATTAACATTAGGGTTTGAATTGTGTGTTTTTTGTAATCTCCTGTAATCCACTGCAGTACCGAAGTCTACTGTAGTGTTTTATTGAGATAAGCTAAGGGTGATATAGCTGCAAACAGGCTTTTCTGTAGCGACAGATGTGAGAAAATAGTTAGTATCTCTGAATATCTGACTGGAGATACATTACTGGCTCTTGAACTTTCTAAAATGTCAGTGGGTAGTATAGGTCACGCTGCTTCGTTTTAGGAACGTTCAAGTACTTAACAACATATCAAATCTGTTCGTATATCGTACAGTTGTTGCCAGGTATACAACCATCCCATAGACCAGCATAGGCTGTCCCATTCTGCCTGTAGGCAGCCTGACGCGCTGCACGTCCACCCTGACACTCGTGAGGTGGTTTGTGCAGGGGGTTCCAGGGTGACGTCTGCCCCTGCGCGTTAGGGAGGGGGTGTTTATGTGAAAGGTGAAGCAAAATGTGCGGTCAAAAATGTTTGTTTTCCTTAATCTTTTTAGTATTAATTCATCTACAGAAATTGCATAGTGGTAAAATTATGAGACTGCTTGAATTTAAATTAATGAATAGAAGAAAATAAAGAAATAGAAAAGAAAGACATTCCAAACTTTCATTAAAGGAGACATTCCAATCATTCCAAACTCCTTACTTTTCTTGCTTATTTTTGCACATAATATTTTTGTGGTTTGCCTTATAATGCTACTTTAAATATTCATATATTTAAAATGTTAGTGTGTGGGTGTGTATATTTTTTCTCAATGCTGTGTTCTGTTAGTGGTAACTATCGTGTCACCGCAGTGGGAAGAACACGCTACTCACTTTAAAGAGCACTGGTAGGCTGGTGTGTTACAGGATCACAGGATTCATCCCTATTTTATCTTTGTGAAGAGGCTGCACAGGAGAGAAGCAGTTAATGTAATCATAGCTGTCAAATTTAGCTAGCAGTTGTTCCATTCCCATCTCAAAAGTATTGATGACCCTTCTTGCCCTAATCTTCAGTCTTTCGCTGCATTCCAGTAAGCTGTACACATACGTGATTTTAATAGTCCAGGCCATGTTACTTGAAATTTAAAGTGCAAAGACATTCATCGGATAACTCTAAACAGCATTATGTGTGTTTTAATGTTGTTCTCTTCATGGGACTCTTCAACTGAACAGAGCTGACTGTTGGGAGTTCCTGGATCTTCTATAGTCTGTTAGGACATTTTCAGTAAAGTTGCAAGTGTTTGCCTTTGCTGTCTACGAAATGCATAGGTTAATGTTCTCTAGCTATACTATCAGTAAAGGAGTCTTTTTTTCCAGATTCATTCTTTAAAATTCCTTCCTGTTCCTTAAGAAGCTGCTGAAGAACGTTAGGATGTGTGATCTGAAGTGTGTGCTCTCTGTCCTCGCAGCTGGATTTGATCACAGACCTGCTGGGAACACCGTCGCTGGAGGCCATGAGGACGGCGTGTGAAGGCGCCAAGGCACATATACTCAGGGGTCCTCATAAACAGGTAGGACTGGCTGCTCCTCCCCTGGCTTTCCCCACGCTTGGTCAGGACTGTCCTCCCGTTACTTCCCATGAATTAGGATTTCCTAATTTCTGAGTCGAAGGAGTCTGTGAGGCTGGAGGATACTGAGGTTAGGAGTTGTCGGGGGCAGCGCAATGTGCCCGGCGAGATCTGCTGGAGCGTCTCCGCTCGTCCCGCGAGCGCGGCCGGGCCGGGAGCGGAGCTGACCCGCGCGGGAAGCTCTGCTCAACCTGCTTCGCAGGCTGCCGAGGAGCCTTCGGATCCCGGCCTCTAGGGAAGGCTGTCCCAGCAAGTGCCGGGGAGGGCCACTTGTTAAAATCTGGTTTATCTGGCCTATTTGTTCCACAGTATTTTTCCCTCTCAGCTGCACTTGGAGGCTTGCGGGATGGATAAGGCTCTGGCGCCTTTGTGTGGCCACCTGGGAGGCAGAGGCAGAGGGGCCCGGCGCTCCCGGCGCTCCTGGTGCTCCCAGCGCTCCCGGCGCTCCCGGCGCTCCCGCTCCGTCACCTCCGCCCAGGCCTCCCTTCCCACCCCCCTCCTTCGAGCTGTTGTAGCTGCCCTATTTATTCCTATCTAAAACACTGTCTGCCTGAAGGTCATTTTAATTGTACTAGATGTCACTTTCAGTTAGCTATGGATTGGCTGGGGAAAGAAAAGCAAAATAATCTATAATTTGGCAGTGATTGAGATCAGAAAAATGAAATACTGGAAATGATGTGGATAATCAAACCTTCTCTGAGCAGCTGTGGTTTAAAGAGGTACATACAGATAAGTAAATAAAAATCTGCTAGAAAAATGGGCACAGTATTTGCAATAAATATTGAAAACAATTATTCAAGAACTTTGAGGGATTTTGCAGGGAATGAAAGTTGCAGACCTTCTGAGAGGCTTCCCAATTCCCAGGCAAAGAATAGCACAATGATCAGGAAACACCGGGCAATTAAGGAGCATGAAGTTTGTGTGCCATATTACTTAAACGTAAAATAAAAATGTTAGTGACTTGTCCAGTAAAAACATTGAAATATACTAATTAAGGTGCAAAATTCTGCACTGAAATTCTGTTCTGGTCCCATCCAGCTTTCTTTTTCAATATTATGGTTGAAGGGAGCACTACAGAAGTTGTTCCCAGCGTTGTTAACGTGGTTGTGGGGAGCTGTTTGAACAGAGGAAGCGGAGGCAGCAGCAGCAGCAGGTCGCTGCCTGCGGGAATGGCTGGGTTGGCAGCGGCAGGAGCGCGCGCGCCGTCGAGCGGATCTGCCCCGGGAACCGTGGAGCAGCGCGTGCTGTGACGCTGCTGACGTGACAACGGCTTGTGCTCTCTCTCCTTCCCTCGTAGCCATCCCTTCCTGTCCTGTACACACTTTCCAGTCAAGCTACACATGAAGCAGTTCATCTCCTTTGCAGGATGTTGGTCTTTGATCCAGTAAGCCTGATTTAAAATAAACCTAATACCTCTCGATTTACCAAATGTTTTGTTGTACGTTACTTAAATGAATATAGTGGGTAAGGACTGTTTTAATGATTTTCTTCCAGTGTGCATGTAGTACTGTAGTTCTATAAAGGACTACAGTGAATTTTCCCCTGGAGTCGGGGTTTAATGTAGTCTCTTGAAGAAAGATACAAGAGAGTAAGAGGGCTGGGGGTGTTTGTGAATCATTCCACCTGCTCCGAGCTCAGTGTAGGTCGCAGAGCATCGTATTTTGATGCAGGTCTAATTGGAGACATGGGGGTGGGAATGGTCTTTCCAGACAAAAAAAAAAAAATCTATGTATCTCCACAACGGGATCTTTTTTCCACCAAGTGTCTGTTTTTTCTAGTAGAAATTTGCTGCGTGGCTTTTGGATTTCATCTCTTGGGTTTATTGTACCAAAATGTCTTTGGAAAATCTGCTCCCAGACTTCTTGGATATCTCATCTTAACAGTAGATGCCATATCCAGAGTTATTCTGTCCTCAGTGAGGCTTAAATTTGTTTTTTATTTTGGACATGTACTTAAGGACACATTAAAAGGTTTTGCAGAATTTGGACCTACAAAATACTGTATTTGCTAACATTGAAACTCTTGATGATTGTTTATTATAATATTTTAAATATTAAGACTATCTTGAAAAAAGTAATTATAGTAAAATCTATTTCTAAATATTGTATTAAATGCATTTTCTACCATTAGCTATTATCCTAAAAGGTCAATGTCATTTTAGCTTTGGTGCCTGTTTTTAAGTAAAATGTTCCCCCTAGTGGTAAAGTGATAGCAAAGGAAAAACATTTCCTAGGAGCTATTTCTGTTTGTGATTTGGGATTTATAAAACAGTTGAGGATAAATTGGTGAGTATTCTTTAGACTGTTTCAGTGCTTCTGAAAATGTCTTTTTTTTTCTATGCAATATTTCAGTCCAAGAGAATATCTGCTAAGGATGCCTTAGCTCACCCGTATCTTGACGAAGGGCGGCTGCGCTACCACACTTGTATGTGTAAATGCTGTTTTTCCACATCTACTGGAAGAGTTTATACCAGTGATTTTGAACCCATCACTAATCCCAAATTTGATGACACTTTTGAAAAGAACCTCAGTTCTGTCCGGCAAGTTAAAGGTGAGCAGTGGTTAAGCTTGGCGGTTGGGTTTATCTTCCTGCTCCATCCTTTCGTAGTTCCCAGAGGCTGGATGGCTCCGTAGCCGGGTGGCTCCGTAGCCGGGTGGCTCCATAGCCGGGTGGCTCCGTAGCCGGGTGGCTCCGTAGCCGGGTGGCTCCGTAGCCGGGTGGCCCCCTAGCCGGGTGGCCCCGTAGCCG